TTGAACCACTGGCTGGACTGACTCCTTTGCCTTAAACTAGAGGCCCAGGGGCAGCTAGGCGGTGTGACGGATAGAGCTCTGGCCTCGGAGCCAGGAGGACCTGAGCCTCAGACGCTTGACACTTACCAGCTGTGTGACTCTGGCCAAGTCACTTAACCCTGATTGCCTTACCAAAAAAAAAAAAGTCCTCTTTAAAAACCAGAGTCCCATCTCTCCTCCTGCCTTTGCCACCACTTAAACGGCCCGCAATACTGCCGCTCCCCTCCGCCCCCCAGCAACCTAGCAAGTCCAGACCAGCTGGATACCCCCCAAAGACTACTCAGAGCTTCATGGGCTGCTTTTGCGCTGACTGCTACCGTGCGCCACATGGGGACACTCCGGTTTTGTGGCCCCCTTAATGAGGGCAATGGGCCACATAAAGGAGAACTTACTTTGAGGGTCACCTTGGTGTCCTTGTGAGCCAGCTTGAGAGCGCTGTTGTACACCTTGAGGTCCTCGTCGAGAGCCAAGGTGGCGGCTGGCAGCTTCTGCTGATCGTAATCGATGTGCTCGGCCAGTTTCGCGGGAGAGTCTATGAAAAAGAGTCTTTTGCTGCCCTTGAGTCCAGTGAGCAGCCTCTCGTGGTACTTGGTGTACTCCCTAACCCAAGAATTACAGTTGTAGATGTAGACCGAAGAGACGTTCTCATAAGCAAAGCCCGGGAAAACAACAAACCACTTGGAGAGGAAGTCTGTCTTAAAGCGATTGCTAGGCCCGGCGTGGGTGAGGTCCATGACAATCTCGTATGGCTTCGCATAATATGGCTTTAAAGTTAGTAAGACATGGTATATCAGCAAATCCCCGTTGATCTGACCAGTCTTGAACCTAACCGAGATGACAAAGAGAAGCTGGTAAGCCAATGGCAACCCAAGTTCACATGCAGACAAGTACTGCTAACCCTCATTCTCGTGCCCTCTTTAACAGGCGGGGAGAGAGGCAATCATAGAAAGCGACACTGCAGCTCAATTATGCAAACTCAGGACACAGATCTGAGGCTTTCACCGCTCCTAGGACCTTTGACAGTATCAATGTTCAGTGACACTCGGGAATGATGAAAAAGGGGAGCGGTGTGTACCTCACAAGAGTAACAGAGGTAAAAAGTAAAGAACAAAGGGCGACCAGGGTCATCAGAAATCTCTGCCACAAATCAGTAATCGATTGTGGCCACTAGATGAGAAACACCTACTATGTGCTGTAAGCTACCAGGGCTAGGAAGTAGTACCGTCAGCCTCCGTCTCTTCCTTTGAGGAGCTTACGCGGCGCTACTGATCGACAGATGAGTCATGGAGACGAGAGTCTGGACGGGGGAGGAGAAAGAGCATTCCAGGAGCATTCGAGGTAAAGCATGCTAAGCAAGAAAGCGTGAGTAGTTTTAGGGAACAATACGTGAATGATGTGGTGGCAGAGCGAGCAGCCGACCTGGAAAAGGGGGATGGGGCCAGTTTCTAGAGGGTCTTAAAAGGAGCTCATGGTATAAAGGAATAGGGAAGGTCCTGGGCAAAGATGGGGGCACCCAGGTGGGCCCATGAGAGGGAGACAACTCCAACCTTCACAGTCTGCTACTGCCACATGGCCCACCTACACGAGAGCACTACTGGGAGATTCAGTAGGAATACCTATGTGAAACAGGGTGAGACCTCCAACAATAACCAGAGGGACTCGGGGCAGGGAGGCCAAGAAAGGACCAGCACAAGGTGCTGAGGGTTGGAACTAGGGGGTGGGGGAAAAGGAGGGGTGTGTGAAAGGTGCTGCAGAGATAAAAGTGACACATGGAGAAAGGGAGAAGCTACAGGTCTGGACAACGGGGGACGGAGGGATTCTGAACAAAAGAGGAAAGGGTCTGGGAGTCAACATAACGAGCTCTGTTTGGACACTCTCAGTCGGCGGCGCCCGAACGAAAGCTGATGACCTTGGACTAGAGCTCAGGGGAGAGGCCCGAGTGAGATACACAGGTCTGGCAATCTCCGTGACAGAGATGGCATGGGGCAAGAACAGCAAATGATCAAAGAAAACAAAGAGGAAACACGGGACGAATGGTGGTCTAGCAAAGGAGGAGGGGAGAGTAATCAGCAGCCTAGAGGGAAAAAAGAGAGAGCGTGGACAAGAAAACCTGTGGGAGGAGTGAACTCAGGAAGGACTGAGCTACAGGGCCAAAGGCCAAAGACAAGAGGTCAAGGCTCTAGACAGAGAGAGAGAGAGAGATAGATAGATAGATATTCATATTCTTATATATAAAGATGAAAGCCAAGGGGGAGGGCTTTGTAAGCATGGGTGAGAGTTGCACATGTTGGTTGGTCACAAAAAAAGAACCAATCGATAAGGGGGTAGAAAGATTAGGGAGGAGGGGGAGTTACTAATGGGGACAATTCGCAGGAAGAGATGAGATCAAGGGCACATGGAGAGGCGTTAGCCTGGGTAAGTGAAGAGCTACCTCTTTATCAGAGACTGCAGCAAAGGAAGCAATATTTGGGGATGACAGCAGGGGAATTTGAAATGAGAAGGGGAGAAGGGTGCCATTTTGACAACTGATCTCAATTTACTATTGTGTGTGTGTGTGTGTGTGTGTGTGTGTGTGAAATATAAGACTGAAATGATGCAGGAAGAGGGCTTAGCACAACCACTGGGCTGATGGGTTAGAGAATCAGTCTGAGAGTAGTGCAAGGATTACCAGGCTGCAGTGAGTGCCCAGCTGAGATCTGATAATATTAACGTATAGCACACTCAGCAGAGTGTTGTGACAACATCACTGTCGCCGCTAACATTTTTATGACGTTTTAGACATGGAACTAAGAGCTTTACGATTATCTCACTTGATCCTCAGAATAACTGTGGGAAGTAGGTGCTATGGTTATCCTCATTTTGGAGCTGAGGAAACTGAGGCAGAGGCTAAGTTGACTTGCCCAGGGTCACCCAGCTAATAAGTGTCTGAGGCTTGATTTGAACTCTGGACTTCCTGAATCACACCCCGCACTCCAGCCACTATGTCACCAGCACCTCTTACATCCTCCAGCTCTATTCAGGAGCATGTGAGCAGAAGTGCTAGAGGTAAGACAGTGCAAGTGATCCAGAGCTGAACTTGGCAAGGCTAAAGTGAGCAGTTAAGGGGACAAGAGAATTGAGGGGAGAGGAGAGTGTACAGCTGAAACGGTTAACCAACGGATTAAAGTTAGGAAGGGAAAAGAATGCAGCCAAAACGACAGTGATGGCTTAGGAGGGTTCTGAGTGGGAAAGGTCTGAAGGTCACAGGGAGAATGAAGTCTAGGTTTATAGCAGGAGTGAGTCACAGGGAGAGATGAAGTGATAAACATGTCCCTAGAATAGTTGGGGGAGGGGGAGAGGAGCTGGAGGAATCAATCACAGGAGCTGAAACAACCAAGGAACTGGGAAGTTCCACCAGTGAGTAATTACAGGGAGGAAAGAAGGCAGTCTGGAGTAGTGAGGAACTGGGAAGGGAACCATCTGAGTCGTCTGAGAATGAAATGCAGGGGCCTAGCACTGAGACAGTAGAAGGAAGGATGAAAGGGAAGGGGGAGATCTGGCGAGGAACACGAGCAGGGAGGGAGAGGGGAGCATCAAGCAGGACTTCTAGGTCTGAGGCCCCCTGAACAGAAATGGCCATTAGACGGCTGGGTAAGTGGGATTCCAGTTGACTCAATCCATTCCAGGGGCACCCTATCACCTCAGGATAAAATAGGAACTCTTCTATTTAGCCCTTCACAAGCAGGCTCCAAGCCAGCTTCCCTGCCTCCCTGTACACTACTCCACCTTTCATAATGTATGATCCATCCAATCTGGCCTTCACTGTGTGCCTCATGCCTTTGCACTGGATCTCCCGCAGACGCGGCATGCCCTGCCTCCTTATTGCCACAGAACAGGGGACACGCCTTCCTTTGAAGATGCATCTACAGAACCATCCCTACAGCTGCCAGTGGCCTCCCTCGTATTGAACTGGTCTGTGTCAGGTTTTATTTATTCACTATATTTATGCAGTCCGGATGGCCTTGCTGTCCGTTTCAGCAAGGACTGTTTGGTTCTCTGCACAGGTATTTCTAGTGCTGAGCACAGTGCCTGCCAGGTAGCAGGTGATTAGTAAGCGCCTGTCAACGGATTGATGCTGGTAGTCATCCACAAAGAGGGTTACGGTTCATAGATTTAGAGTCTGAAGGGACTTCAGAGGTCAGCCTAATAAATCATTCCATTTTGCTGGTGAAAGCACAGAAGTGATAAGTCTATGCCCTTCTAAAGAAGAATACTTTCAATCACTTTTCAGGGTATTATCTCTATTCGATGATTTCTAGTACAACAATAGGTTAGATTTTGGGGACGGCCTTTTCGGAAACCCACGCACTCACTCCTTTACCCATGAGGGCTCTACCCATGTCTAGACAGCGAAGGTTACTGACGTTAGCCATTCTCTTGGCATCCTCTCCTGGACAAGCTCAAAGCTCAGCCATTTTCTTGTGGCAGCGCAGCTTGGAAGAGGCACAGGAAAGCTTGCTGGGGAGCATCTGATGCTACTGGCTCACTTAAAGGAACCCCAGATCACTTTTCTAGCCAGGGTTCCCCCACCACAGTCTGAAAGGCTTAGAAGTGACATCATCCTTTTTAGTGTTCTCACCACACACTGTGTCCCAGCCTGCATTATCATAAAGCTCACAATTACTCAAAGGCACAGCTCAGTTTTCTATGATAGGCAGAAAGACCCTTATTGCCAGCGGCACTAGGGTCAGGGATCAGGTGAGGCAGTCTAGACCCTGCCAATGTGCCTGTTGCTGAGGCTCTTTCTACTCTCTGACGGAGGATGCTATCTCCTAAGTGCACGGGCTGGATGCCTTGGGAGGCAGGTCCAGAGAGTTCGAGGTGAGGACGGGTCAATGGAAAACCTTCCCTGCCCCGCCCTGAAGGCGGGGATTTGTTCACAAAGCTTCCTGTCAGGCCTGAGGCAAATTGGATGCGATGGAGGGTTTTTTCCCTCCTCTGACATGTGCTTGAGCTGCAGCTGAAAGGAAATGTGTCATCTGTGGTTTTCGTTTTCAAAGTGGAGAGCTCGCAGCCTGCCGCCCTCCTTGCTGCAGATTTATTTCAGTTTTCACACTCTCCATCTCCTGTGAGCTCAGGTTTTTGTCAGCGTGTTTCCAGAAGAGCCAGAGAAGCAGGGGCTAAAACGCTTCCTTTACTATCAGATTCTGAGGAGCTCCTGGAAGGTATGTCACAAAGACCTTTTCTTATGCTCAGCAGGGCTGGTGCTCCAGGAAGAGCTGCCAAGGGCACTTCCCTAGCAAAGACTCTCACTAATAAAATAAGGCTATTAACCACTGAAGAGATGAAATGTCTTCTTCAAACAGGTTGGAGGTTTTGCCTAGGATTGCCAAATTTCCCATGAAAAATGGAGTCCAAAAGTTACTAACATTTTGATTAAACAGTATTAGAAAAGTAACTTCTTGTGGCCGGGCATGCTAGATTTTACCCTGAACTCACCCACAGCTATTTCTAAAACATAATCTTGCCATGAGAGAGAGAGAGACAAGTGAGGAGCTCCCAAGAGTCCTTCATCTCGATCAGGGTCTATGTGAAGCCCTCACTTGGTGAGGCCGGTTTGTTTACTTCGGGGTGGTGGACCATCTGGCCAGAGACAATGAACAGTGGGGCCCATTGTGTGTCCAGTGGTGACCACTGTCATCATTTGGCAATGTGCAAAGATGTGTGCTTGGGGACAGGGCACAGTTAACGAACTATAAAGTGGTCATGAGTAAACACATTTCATAAGTTCAAAACACCTAATGCAGATGAGCACTCCCAATGGAAAGTCTTTGACTGAACTTAAAGGTCTTTCTTTTTGCAACTGACTCACCACTAAGTGCTTGAAAATAATTTTACATGTAAGATTTTGGATAGCTAATTTCTAACTCTTCTATACGGTTAATTACAAAAAGGTAACACGTCTCCTAAAGACTCTGCCTTAACATCTAAACTTGAAAAAAAAAATCAATAATAAAATAAAAAGCCTATATGAACTCACAATCCCAAAATTCAGCTAAATCTTAACACATCTTATAAGATTTCCACCACGCCCTTTTGTCTCAGTTAAACAGAAAATTCTAAAGGTCAAATTTGAGTTGGGTATTCTGTCTCTTGTGTGGGATTCAACAATATAATCCTATTAGTTTTTTTCAGAGTACAGCTCTGTGCAAAACGGTACACAAATAACACACCTAACAAAATATGTGTTTTCTTGAACAAGACACGCTTTTCATTGAAAATCTGTGCTGGGCTCTTACTAGAAGCAATGTGGCTTATTAATCTAAGAAGGCAATCAAGTCTGTTTGCCTCTCCTTCCCAAGAAAACCCAACCATAAAACATAAAGCTAAGTAACTGTTAAAAAAAAAAGTCATGATTGTTCAACTTGTCTTTCTCAAAGGCAAACAAACTCCTTTCCTCTGAGATTCTGCTTATGCCCTGAAACAAGCTGCACATTTTCAATGAGCCAGGATGAGTCCTGCTTCTTTTTCCTCTGTACTGTTGTGATTTTCAATCTAACAAAATGGCCCGGCCCTCATAAAGCAGGGGAAAGCAGAAGCAAGGAGTGAGAAGGATGTGTGCTGGAGATGGGGGTGGGTGTGGGTGTGGGGGCAGGGATGGAAATGACTTCTCCACAGCCAAGTTAGATGGTCTTCAAGAAATAAATTTGGTTCACTGTGTTCCACTGAAATGAATGATCATAATGACTAATTAAAAGAATTCTGGTTTTTATTCAAATTAATTGCCTAGTTGTTTTTCTCTTCTATCCCAAGGCAAAATGTCTCCTAGTTCGACTTCTCCTTTTACAATAAAGACAGTCATACATTTTGCTTAGAGGGTGGGGAAGTTTTTGCAAAGGATCCTTAACCATAGGAAAAAAAAAAAGGAATTAAAAAAAGTAAAAGCAGAAGCAAATGACTCAAAGCTGAAGTCTGGCCTGCCTGAAAGGAAGAAATGACCACAGAGCTCCCTTGTGCACAACATTTAAAAATGATTAATACTCTTTGTAATGCTTTCTTCCTCCATCTTCCTGCATTTAGAAGCATAACTGAGACACTTAAAGGTTCCCTAATCCAGCAGCCCAAGCATCAAGGGTGTGTAATTCAGTTAAACTGGAGTTCATTCAACTAGGTCAGGGAAACCTTAAACATGCATGTGCTACAAAAACAAATACTTATGTTCTACTTGTAACATCACAGCTTCTCCTTATTTAGACTAAAACTATTGCAAACTAACACCTTAGTTCTATTCCTTGATCACTTAATTAACTGTATTTATAACCCAACAGACTGATTACCAGGTGAGCTTGGCCATGGAACCCACAGGATGTTACCTGCATGCTGCTCTTCTGGCAACCACCATCTTTTCCTGGCTTCCTCAAGCGAAAGCAAACGCCACGTCCCCCTGGGTTATCAACAGTACCGACTGGGACCCCAGCCTTCAGAATAACACAAACACAAACGGGGATGGACGCCCCATCAACCCCGAGACTCCAGAAACAGAGGTGGCAAATGCTCCCAGCACACCCCAGGTGAGGACACCACGACCTCACCCCTGGTCCTTAGCTCCTCCATTTGGACACGCCCTCAACACACCTTCTCCTCCTAGGGACAGCAGCACTCCCACAACACAGAGCTTCGAGCGCACCAGCAAGAGCCCGGACGACGTCTTTAAAAGGGACATTTGTGAAGACAGCAACAACAAAATGGCCATGCTGGTGTGCCTGATCATCATTGCGGTGCTCTTTCTCATCTGCACCCTCCTATTTCTGTCCACTGTGATTCTGGCAAACCGAGTGTCTTCACTCAAGCGATCCAAACAAGTCTGTAAGCGACAGACAAGAAGCAACGGGGACTTTCTGGCAAGCAGCGGCCTGTGGCCAGTGGAATCGAACACTGGGAAAAGAGCAGAACAGCTCACGGGGCCCCGGCTGATGCTGCAGGCCACCGGCACCCTCTCCCTTCCAAGGGAAAGAAAAGACAGCGGAGCAACAGAGAAACTCACCCACTGAGAAAGGGGTAAATGAGAGGGATCAATAAAGTGAGGCTGTGAAGGCTTCCAGCAGAAATAGAGGAAGCTGGTATTTTTACTGCTGGTAGCCTAGAATGTGACATGGCAAACCTGGAAACCAAAGGTCAGTCAGGAAGGATGAAAGGGAAAAGTATGCCTGCCTAGGGGACCAGTCAGCAGATCGGGTTCTAATCCTGACTCTTCTACGACTGTGTAGCCCTGGCCACGTCACTTGCCCTTTATTAGGGGCCTCAATTTTCTGATCTATAGGGTGAGAATGTTTGGACTACATGTAGGGCCTATGATCCCATTCAGTCAAATCCTAAGAGCTACACACTTTTATTATGATGCTAAAGATTTCACAGGCTTCACAGGACACAGATCAAGAAGGCACTCGAGATATTAAGTAACCAAAGATGCTGGAAGGTTTTAAAAATAAGGCAGCAAAGAACGTGGAATGTAGAGAAACGAAGGAAGGGCTAGCAGGAGACAGACTGAGGGAAACAAACATTCACCATGTTCAGCAAGAGCACTTGGTAGAAACTCCATCTGGATCTGGTCAAAATAACTGACACGTGCCTAGTTTAGTTCTAGCCTCATAACCAGCTGCCTGCTGCTCTACCTGGTAACAGCAGCCATCACAATTCTAACTCACCTAAAGGTCTATGGTCTGACGCAGCAATGCCTTCCACGGCCACAAAGCTTGTTGTCAGTGACGTGTTGATCTTTCCATTATGTGCAAGAATTCAGAAAGCTTATTAAAATGCTATTTTACATGATAAATACTGGAGTCAATCTTTCACTCTGTGCTGCATAAAAGCGGACGACAGTAACCTTGTGACCACGTACACTTGCTCCTTGAAAACACTGTCTACACTCCCCATGCCAACCTCCTTGCTGTCTGCTCCCCTCCAGCTCATTCCTCCAGCCTCCAACTCAAGCTAGTCTTTCCCAGGTCACTGATGGTGATGGGATGGCCAAGCTGCCATCATCCTGGCTCTCTCTGCGGAGTCAGATGCTTCCTTCTCATTATTTTCCGTTCCACTCTTTCCCCTGAAAGAGTCGAGCTTCTCGAGGCCAAGGACTCTTTCACCTTTTTGTATTTCTACAGGCCTGCACAGTGTGCTTGGAACACAGTGAGCACTTAATAAATGCATGCTGAATGATAAACTGATTCCCCTCCTTCCCCTCCCCTCCTTTATACACGATGACCCATCCCACAGCGCAAACTACAATCCTTCTGCCCAGGACTTCCAAATCAACACGCCCATTTTCAACATAAGCATCAGACCCCTATGTCCAGCTGCAGCCTGAGGATCTTGCCAGGTCCTCCAACTAAACCTGCACAAAATAAAAAACTGACCACGTCTGACCTCCCGAATCTGTCCTGTTTTGTGTAGGGGGGAAAACCAGCCTTTCACACTCGGAGTCCTTGGCTCTGAGACCACAGGGACTCCCCAACCAGCTTCCTCCTTCCCTCCCCAACACACCAGTGCCAGGCTGATCTGATCCCATCACTCTGCGGCTAAGAGTTCCCAATTTCTCCAGTGCCAAGCTCCTTAGCCTGCCACTCGAGCCCCTCCGTCGCCTCCCAACTGCCTTTATTCTACATCATTCTCCTTCACTTACTCTACTACACGCTCAGTCTAGCAGCTTTCCACCCTGCCTCGGCCTCCTAACAATCACTAGGCCTCTAGGGCCTTCCTTGCCCAATGCTGCCTGGTTCAATGCCCTCCAGGGAATCAATCTCTCTCTCTCTCTCTCTCTCTCTCTCTTTTAAGGCAATTGGGGTTAAGTGACTTACCCAGAGTCACACAGCTACTAAGTGTCAAGTGTTTGGTCTGAGTCTGGATTTGAACTCAGGTCCTCCTGACTTCAGGGCTGGTGCTCTATCCACTGCGCCTCCAGGAAATCTCCCTTGCTATCTCTACCTACTTCTTTGGATTGTTATTAGTACTTTCAACCTCTCTAAGCACTTTTATCTACTCCTATTAAATTATAAATTCCTTTTATCTTTGGGTACCAAGAGCTTTCCCATGGGGCTTTGCATATATAGTAGGCTCCTGTGTCTGTTGACAGAACCTTACAGCAAAAGTCCAGGCAAGATCCATTAGAAATCCAGGACAGTGAAACCGAACACTGTGTAACTCTGATGACTGGGCTTGCCTCCAGAACAGAGGAGGAAATGAAGCTCTCTCCTTTCCCTGGAGAAGCGGGGGGCTAGAGACATCGAATGCTGCCTGTGCTGTCTGAAGGACTGATGTGGCCCGTGGTTTTGCTGATTTTTTTTCATTTTCAGTCACCAGAGAAGGCTGGGGGTGAGGAACTGGGCAGAGTATGAGAGCACTGTAGGATAGGACTGCTGTAAAAAAAAAAAGCTAATGATAAAATTTTGTTTTGCTTTTTTTTTTTAAAGAAAAGGACCAAAGGCCAGTAATATGTTAGTTCTAGAAGCACCCAAAGGCCAGAGGCAAATATAAAAGGACTTCTGCATGGCCTTCCTTCATGAGCTGATTATTTTAGAAATTCTGAATGACATTAAGGGCATCACAACGACTTCCCCAAACGGCCCAAACAATATCTGACGATGCCCTCAGAAAGAAAGAGACAGCAAGGAAAAAAGTCCCCCCCAAAAGGCATTGGAAAGCACAAGATCCCCATCCCGGACAATCCTCCCTTAAACATTACTGGATGATTTGGTGAAGGGACAAATCAAAAGTGACACGAGCCAGCCACATGTGGCTGGCACCACGTTGTTGAAGCTGCTTTGCCACAGGTGTCCCTTTTCACTGAGCACACACTCGTCAAACTCTCATCCCCATATGAAGCCATTAAGCTGGGGCTTTGTGACAAGAGCCATCCAGGTGCAGATTTTACATTTTTACCAATTACACTCCTGGTCTTATTTCTCCATTAAGTCAAATGTCATTCCCCTCAGTCCCATCTTAAAAAAAAAATTTAAAAAAAGGAAGAATAAATATGCACTTAAGCAAATGACAATGCTAGATAGGTGTACCTAATTTAACAAAAATTACCTACTCAAGAAAAAGGAGATACTATATAGTGAAAAAAAATGGTGGTAGAGTTGAGTGAGGACAGTCATGGGTTTCAATACTTACTATTTAATGACAACTCACTTAATTCTGAGACTCAGTTTCCTCGTTTGTAAAATGGGAAACAAATTACACTTTTGTTATCAACCTCACTGATTTTTTGTGAGGGAAAGCACTACAGAAATGGAATTTGTAAATGACCATTTTACTTCTGCTGGATGGATTTTTAACTTCAGACAAGCTAAATTATAAAGTAACAAATCAGGAAAAAATTGGTATCTGAATTACCAAAATCTCAAAGTTATATTTTTTTCACTCATCTCAAACATTCTAAAGCTGGGATTCTTAATCTTTGTTGTGTGTCCTTGGGTAATCTAATGATATCTATGGACTCTTTTTCAGAATCACGTGTTTTAAATACATAAAACTATAAAGGAAACCAATAACACTGAAATATCATTATCAAAATATTTTTAAGAAGACAAATTAAGCAAGCTTTGGCTTAAGGATTCCTGCCCTAGAAGTTCTAGACCACACCTTAAGAGCTGGAAGTGACCATATCGGCTATCTAGTACAACTTCCTTATCTTACAGGCCTAGTTTGAGGCCCAGTGTGACGTGACTTGCCACACTTACACAGGTCCTAAGCGGAAGAGCCAAGATTAGAACCCAGGTCCTCTGGGCACCCTGCACCATACCACCACTTCTTAAGTAATGACACCTAAGCATTATGATCGGCTGAAATAAAGGAATCAGGACAATTTCTGATTGCAAGTTTAAGTAAAAGGTGCTATCTTTATATTCCTTCTGTAGATCAAATATTCTTCATTAAAAGGGACTGCCTCCACCAGCAAGGGCATTTACAGTTAATCATTTGTCATGAATGTTGATGGTGCTCCAGCAGCCACTTTACTGACATAATCTCCACTAGTTCTTGGTAACTGCCACACTTGACAGGGAGACATATTTTGGTAACAACTTGATGTCTTCTATTTTCTGATAGTACCAGATATCACTAGTCTTCTGACGGTCAGCTTAACTGGTAGATTTTTTAAAATTCATTTTTAAATGAACATTAGTCACATCATTAAGAAAACAATTTCACCTGATGATCTCAGAGACGTCCAGAGGAAATGTAGACACAGTCACAGAGACAGAAGTCTCCTTTTTCCTCAGGGCTAGCTCTGCATGGCCCCTGAAGCAGGCATGTCAATTCCCCGAGGTCTAACTGTCTATTTGTCAGCGGATGCCCAGGGCTCACAATATTTCGGGAGCACCTGTGAGTGGGTGCTGAGTTCGATGTGCATCGGGTGAATCATTCTTTCTGTTACTCTCTACACGGCCCGGAGCAATAGTTGCTTCACTTCCTCCTCCTCCTCCTCAAACCTCTCCACAGCCTCCATCTTCAAGTGGGTTCAGCAACAACTTCTGTTTTCTTTGTCAAACCATCGATATGGCCATCCCTCGCTGACAAGAAAGGTACGGCGGAGGTAAGGAGCAATTTTCTTGTGGGCATTTATCTTTGGGTTTCTCTTTGTTTTATGCTGGTTTCCTATTAAAATTAATAATTGATATTCTTCATTGGCCTGGAGGATGGCCAAATTGCTTTTATTAACTACACAGATAGGCTGATGAGGCTTTCAATCTGTTTCTTATCGTGTACATCAAAATGGAAACAAACAAAATCAGCTATTGAACTCTGCTAGCAGGAGCACTTTTAGCTGAAGTCCAAAATATCCATAATTCTAAGGAACTTTCTTAGTAAGGCTTTACTTGAGTGGCAAAAGGCATTCACCTGCAATTTATTAATGAATTGTTCCATGTTTAAAATCATAAAAATTTCCAAGTGCAGAGAAACCTGAATAAACCAGAAAACTGAGGATAGCAGCAATATGATCATATGCACTGAAAATAGACCCACAACATGAGGAATCTGACATTTTATTTTCCTGAAAAGTTGAACTTTTGGTTTGAGATATTTCAGAATCTTAAAATTGTCACTGACTACTGTTATTTAAAAATTACCAAAGTCCACAACCAGGAAATGAGAACATTCATGTTCTTTTCATTTCATTTTTAAAAGACTTCCAAAAAAAAAATCTAACTACCAAATTATCAATGAATTATTCATCATTGTCTTTTCTCGCCAAAACTGAATTTTGTAGCTTGAGCTGTGGCAATTATGTACAAATATAACTGAAGAAGAGAAAGGGCAAATGTAGTCACCAGGAGTGAGGGCTTTCAGTTCCTTGGCTGCCTCCCCCCAAAACCTCACAGAATCATGGTGTTTCAGAACTGGAAGGAACCTGAGATAACACTGGACAATCTGGGGCAAATTTCTTCATCTATAAATTGAGGCGAAAGGATGGAGCACTCTTTAAATTGGCTCATGGCTCTGTGTCTTTACATGACTATTTAGAGGCAGACCAGTTACCAAAATAGTTACCTGATGCTTACTGCTCTAGTCCCTGGATGCTGATCACACTTCCTAAAGACAAATTTAGGCAGAGTGGACTTTTGCTCGCAGTTCTGTTTACTGCCTTAAAATGATCAAATTAAATAATAAAATTCTGAATTTCCCCAATCTGCACATAAAAAAGGTACAAAGAACCTGGCCTCATAGAGTACTAAACAAAACAATGTTTGCAACAAACCCTATCGCAGTTAACATCTGTTGATTTATTACTTTGGAATAAGTAAACATTATCAAAATTTAGGCAATAAAGATGCCTGCTCTGAGGGAATTGGATACTACAAAGTATTCCTGGTTTTTTTTTTAATCTGAAAATGCTCTATAAATTTACTGTATGTACAAATAGTAGGAATTATCAGATAGTAAGTAAATTTACTTCATAAGGACAAGGTAATACTCCTATAATGTCTCCCTATAAAGGCTCCTATGTTGTCTCTCCATGAAATTTTTTTAATTTTTAAAAATTAATTTAATTCTGAACTTAAACACCAAATCAAATTAGCATTCCCATATATGTAATCAAACAGAAGACTGTACATGAAGCTAGAAACCCCTAATGTGTCCAAATCTGATTTTAAAATTTTACTATTCAAGATTCTTTTGTACCTCCTCCTTTAAGATGTTAATTCACAACCATAAAAGTGGTATTTACCCACAGTGATTTCCCTATTCTCAGATTCTTCAAAAATGCCATTCCTGAATTTAGGCGATGTTTAAGGATGTTTTCTTTCTATTTTTAAATTATTTCGAGCTTGATGCTACCTGGATGTAATGGGAAGCAAATGCTAAACAAAGTTGCCTTGTTTTCTTAAAATAAAATCTATGCTTTACAGAATGGCCAGCCTGAATAAAAACTCGTGATGTGACTCCACAACTCTACTGTTCTATCCACTGTACCACCAGCTGCCTCTATTTACCCTATGATGTTCAAGATAACTAGAGTAACTATTCTCCATTTATCCCTAATCTTATTTCATAGCTACTGCATCTTGACCATATGTTACTGATCATTTAGTGTGCTGTTCTTCTTCTTTGGGGGGGGGCGGCGGCTGGGGAGGGTGATTTGCAGGGTGGGACTATAAATCTGTTATGAAGAATACACTGGTTCCCTGGAAACTTCACCACCCTGTAGCTTCAGATACTTATTAGATATGTGTCCTTGGGAAAGTCACTGAACCTCTGTTTGCCTCAGTTTCCTTATCTATGAAACGGGGATGATGATGAGGATTGAATGTGATTTAAAAAAAAATTGTAAAGTGCCTAGCACAGTGCCTGGCACATGGTCAAATTAGCTATTATTACACTATTATTAAGTAGGATGAAAGTCCAGTATCAGATCAGTGATGTGCATTTACGTGAGATAGTTGGCTTAGACATTAAGAAGTATTTCTTGGGGCAGCTAGGTGGCACAGTCAAGAGAGCACCAGCCCTGGATTCAGGAGGACCTGAGTTCAAATCTGACCTCAGACATATAACACTTACTAGCTGTGTGACCCTGGGCAAAGTCACTTAACCCCACTGCCTAACCAAAAAAAAAAAAGTAGTATTTCTTAAATATGATTGTGAAACATGGAGAAAACATTTGAAATTTTCTTCTGGAGACTGGGAGAGAACTAGACATGGGGGGTGGTGTTAAGTGCAGGTTTTGCTTTTTTGGAGGTCCTTTCAGAAAGCCAATGGGTCACCAGGAGAGCTGTAACGGGCAGCCAAGGGGATGGCACTCTCTTGCCGCTTTTCTAAATGTGTGTGTTTCTGTCTTCCATGAGAACAGCTGAAGGCTGGTAGGAGATACCACATTACAACACGTATGTTCCCCACCCCAGTGTTCACGGTTCAGCAGCTTGTCACAAGGAGAATCACACTGATCTCAGGGGTTCAAGTCTTGCCCCTTATCACCCCAGGAGTTTCACCAATGCCAGCACTGCAAAACAGACAGTGTCGGGGGGAGTGAGGAAGCGGTCCAGGGCTTTGGAGCAGAGCAGGTATACTACTTAAACAGCAGGGGAATCGACGCTTTTAAAAAAGCTGTGGTTATTTCTCCTTTCCTGTTGACAAGAAAGGGTGTGAACATAAAACAGAATCTTATACATTTGAACAGGTTCCTTAGAAGTTGTTCATTCTAATGAATTTTTAGTTAACTGGAACAAAGAATATTACACTGAACTTTATTTTTAAGTAAAGCCACAAAATGGCAAATACCTTGTGGCTGAATACACTTGTAAAATTTCATGTGTCTATTTTCTGTTGATTCAAGAATTGTCAGGAATGTTTTCCAAGGAAGCCAACTTTTTATCATTCATACTAACAGGGATAGCAGGAATAACTCAACATTTTGTTGAAGCCAAAGGCTATAATGGGTGCCTCCTCTAGAATTCTTACCCAAGTTGATCAACAACATTCATCAAACGGGAGCAGGGCCCTGGGAGAAGGCTGGATTGCAAAATCAAGGACCAAGGTTCAGATCCAGCTTGGCCACCCCTATCATCCTTCACCCCTCAAGGCCTCGGTTTCCTCAACTATGAAATTAAAGACTTGGCCTAAATGATCTCCAAGATCCCTGCCAGCACTAATGCAGGGTTCTATGACCCTCAAAGCTAACTTGGATTTTTAGAGGCATTAATATAGAACATAAACTAGTAACAATTTCATTTCCGTCTTTGTATCCCCATTACCTACCACAGTGCCTGGTATATAGTGGGTATTCAATGAATACTTGCTAATAGGATACTAGGTGAGACAGTGGATAGGGTTATTTTAAGGCATTTCTAAAACAAAGCATGGCAATTTTAATACAGTCAGCCTTTGAAATCATAATTGTCTATGCTTGACTTCTTAAGAATTAAGGGTGAAATATGTCCTTGATAAATTACAATGAGCACATTCACTTTAATGTAAGCAGAAAGCCTAAAATGATTGTTAAGTAAGTTTTCTGTATAAATTAGTATCAAATAAAAGTCAAGTCAAGGCCATGAGAGACGGGTCACCAGCAACAATGCTGCAGATTGGAGGAAGCAGAGGCCATTGTACTCAGTGATGAGATGGATGATCACTGGATGCTTCAGAGTACAAAGAGTACAAGTGCAGGTGAACCCCATGTTGCAAGTGCTTTAAGTGAATAGCAAGTGGGGACAGCCATCGCACAATGAGACACTTGGCAGTGAAATAAGGGAAAATAACTGGGCAGCTGGATTAAATGAGGGGTGGAGAGTTTACTTGTTTTACTTTAGAATCAGGGAAATTTATGCCAACATAGTAGGAACAATTGGTCCCTGAATGAGGAAAAGTTCTCTGCATTAGTTTTTGGTGTATTGCAAACACTTTGAGGATCTGTCTTTTCTTCGGTTTGAGTACTCCTTTCACTGGTTTGAATTGCAAACCTCCTCTGTCTTCGTAAATCACTTTCATGTGACTGAAAAGTACACCACCACATAGTGAACTCGGGCAGCTTGACAATGAGTTCGTCCGTACAATGGTCCTCAATAAACAGCATACAGTCCGTTAGTGACATTTCACTGCATCACTTCTAAATGTAGAGATAAAGTAAACCCAGGCTAGCTATGACACCCCCCCCCCCAATGATAACTAATTGTTCCTCTGTTTTCTTTTACAGTGGGGGAAAAAATTGCCTTCTTATGGTTTAGGCTTTTGAAATGGATCCCAAGCATTTCATCCTAATGCTCTTCTGTGGCTACTTGACAAACAGAATCCTAACAGAGACACACGCATACTCAACAGTCTCACCTCAGACTACTCCTTTTAAATCATCAATATCAGATACATCAGCTAATTTTGGAAATGGAACAGAGAACCCTCTCAGTCAACCATTACAACCGATCAACATTCCTTCAGAACAACCACCACCATCACCCACCTCCAAGACCCCTGGGCAACCACCAATTTCACCTGTCCCTGGATCCTCTGGACAACTACCAGCATCAACTGCTCTCACTTCCTCTGGACAACCACCATTATCATCCACCCCCAAGTCTTCTGGTCAAATACCAGTGACACCTGTCCCCAAGTCCTCCAGTCAGCCAACAGCATCACTTGTCTTCAATTCCACCAGGCAACCACCAGAATCACCCATCCCTAACTCCTCCAGTCAATCACCAGGATCATCTGTCCCCAACTCTACTAGGCAACCATCAGCATCATCTGGCCCCAACTCCACCAGGCAACCACCTGTAACAGCAGTCCACAGCTCCTCCAAGAAACCACCAGCATCATCATCCGGCCCCAGCTCCACTAGGCAATCAGCAACCACAGTCGTTACTCCAGAATTCAACTATGAAGAGAATAACAATACCCCCCAAACAAAACCTCAAAGCTCTACTGCCAATTCAATAGCTGCTCTGTTGATTGGCACAATTCTAACTTTTATGATAGTCACTATATTTATGATTGTACTCTGGAAATGTGTTAGAAAACCAATCCTCAATGACCAAAACTGGGCTGGCCGGTCTCCCTTTGCAGATGGAGAAACTCCAGATATGTCTATGGACTACAGCAGAGAAAATGGAAAATCCATAAAACGTTCATCAATTGTTTCACTTGAGATCTGGAAACCAAACAAAAGCATGCTCTTAGCAGATGATTTGGATGTTAAATTGTTTAATTCAAGTGAAAATCTTGATGAATGTCCTAAGTCAGACGCGGAGAAAATGAAAGACGGACCAAATGGGACATCAGACGAGAGCGCTGACAGACTGACAGTTGGCACTGCTATTTCTTCTTCAGAGGAGACGGAATTGACTCCAGCTCCTCCTCTTCTTGATTTAGATGGGCCAGAAAATCAGAAGCCTGACTCATCTAACTCGCTTGAAAATGACTTCTCTCATTGGCCACCTCCTCTGGACTGTCTCGACTCTGAGTTCAGGCAGCCAATTCCTCCTCTCTCTGACTCTCCCGAGCTGCCCCCTCCTCCAGAAGCTCTCCTCAAAGACCAGGAGGAATACAACACAGAAGTTCAGAACGCAGCTTCACCCACAGTAGAGACCCAGCTTCCTATTCCTGACGACTCCAGTCAGCAAGCCTTGGCTGAATCACTGCCGCCACCACCTGCAGAATTATTGTGAACGATCACAGCTTGCTGATGTGAAGACGTTTCAAAAAGATTAGCTTTATTTCTTCCCTTTCAATGATGGGGAAAATGAACTGCCAACCAACTTAGACTTCCTTTCAATCTGCTTAAAACTCTCCTAAATTCATGTAAATATTAGAAAGTGCTTCCCCTGGAGTAGAAAGTCTTGTCTGACACTTGACTATTTGCTGAGTTTGGCACAGTTATGTAACTGCTAAATTTCAAAGCACAGAAAATATCTGCTTAATGTTTAAAGTTAACAGATAGCTCTCTGCTCAGGAGTTTTACAAGCTAGTTGTCATCTTTACAGTAATAAAAGAGGGCCTGTAACAACAAGGAGTTGTACTAAATTTCTCAGAAGTTATAATCTGCAAGATGTCATCATTTTGTAAGATGTTTATATCCATTTCTTCAACTGAATTAAAACACTTTAAATGTAGTGTCTGTCTTCAGTGACTTAGCTATTTCAGAAACACCTAGATTTCTAAGATACACAGGGTACCTCTTGTTATGGAAGATTAGTTCCTGAAAGGATGAATGGAAATTTAATTTGTGTAAATAAATCTTATCTTCTTAATGCTTAGCACCTGAATTTCAAAGATATATGTCCCTACAGAGGAGGGAAAAAAACCAGCATCCCTCAAGCTGAAATTTAGAAATTTAGAATTTAGAAAATGCTCGTAAGTCATGCACTTTATAGAAAATCAGCTTTCTAATAAAACATTTAAAGTAGAAGGGCAGCTAGATGGCACAGTGGATAGAGCTCTGGCCTTGGAGTCAGAAGGACCTGAGTTCAAATCTGGCCTCAGACACTTGACACTAGCTATGTGACCCTGGGCAAGTCACTTAACGCTGATTGCCTCACCAAAAAGCAAAACACAAACAACAGCAAAAACCCACTTACAACACATACTGAGTCAAAACCAATGCTAAAAACGCAGTAAAGCTCCACAACATGCTCTCATTCTCTCACTTCACTGGGAAAACACTTAGGTTCTTCTGACAAAAACAAACGAACTCAAAGATACCAGCTCTCTCACTTTTCTGTATACCTGGATCATCTGAACAAATCATTAAAAACATCTGAGGCTCTAGTTATAAATTGGGTCATTTCCCAGAGACGGCAACTATCTCAACACACGACAAGCCTTGGAGTAAGTGATTTGTAGGTCCTGTGAGTATTCCCAGTTGGGTTTCTTCAACCTAAAGTTTCCAGGGGGTGATTTTTGTCATGTCTCACTGGACCACTCACTAGCTAGCTGAGGGGGCTCCCATAAGGCACCTCGGAGCTCTCCAAATCTTTTCCTGTAACATGGAGACAATACTTGTTCTCCTAACCTCAGAGGGTGGGTGTGAAGAAAGTACTTGGTAACCCACGTCACAGAAATGGATGTGACTGATGTGAGTATCGCCTCAACTCCATATTGGCCAGGTACTTCCTGTAAAACTCTATCAACTCCAAAGACATAAACATCTCCAGGCTGTTCAAAACTGAGTCCTGAGGTTTGGTTTCATGTACAGAATGGTGGCAGCCTGCTAAGAATCATCAATACCCTTGGGTCCTACTTCCTTTTACATACCCTTGGCAGGTGAACAGGAGACTATCCTAAACTGGGTCATGCTGTCTGCAGTAGTCATGATCATGTCTTCTGTTTCAGCTTCCGAATTAGAAAAGCAGTCAGCTTATTAAAGGATTGATGCAAAGTTAACTAGTAGCAAGTCCTGAGGGTGGTGAGCACTTTGGATCAATGACTGGGTTAAGGCAAATTTTTTTTTAAGGGAAATCTACTTTCATATGACTAGAAAGATCATCTAAAGTTTATTTCCACAAAATGCCCCCCCAACAACATCACAAAAACACCTGCTGCTCTTGGTGGTCACTCTCCTCTAAGATTTCTTCTTCTAAATCTCACCAACATCTGTTTCCATGCTGGGAGTCTCCAAGTCACTTCAATGTTACACAAATCATCACTGACTTTCCATCAAGTACCATCACTAAGAACATCTCTTTCAAGTTTTGCATCTATTCCACATCTTGTTCATACTTTAAATCCTCTTACCAGGCCCTGAAGGAGCATGGTAACCACTGGCATTGTACATAGGTTGGTTCACCTATATTAAAAATCTTTCATATTTTAGGTCTCTATTACTGAAGCCAATTAACTTAACAGTAATCAAAGGCATTAATGATAAAGAAATTCTCTGAGGAATCCAAGGGGAACAAAGTTCTTAACCGTTTGTTTCTGGGTCTACCTTAATGCTCAAGCTTTAGATCTCTATTTTATACCTAAGCTAGTTGGTGGTTTGTTTTGTTTTGCTTTATATTTATGATTTCTCTTTTGCTTCTGCCCTTTTACTAATAACTTAGGACAGATGGGGGACACACAACAACTGTGATATAAATTCTGAGTTGGTGAAGGTGAAGATAAGAGCCAGTGCTGACTTCTCAAAGATTGAGATTTTGTCCACTTTTCTCCCTGATAAAACTGGATTTGTAGGAGGAAACTTTGTAAGAATTCATAGCCAAGTAGGGAAAAAAAGCTTTATCCTTACTGCAGATGATTTTTTTTTTTGCCTTAGCACAACAGAGGAGCATATCAGCCAAAGTAGAAGTATTTGTTCCAATCAGCAGAAATAAATAAAGGAAGATAAACTAAGATAGGACCTAAGAAGCAGCAGGCAGGATGAAAGCAAAACGTGGAGGAAACAAAATTAGAGCTGCCAGATTCACAGCATAAAGTTTATTTTAGCAACATGGCAAAAAAGGAGCTGGTTCAAGTACCACATGACTAGAAGATGAATCAACATGACGACCAGCAGCAGACCGTGCCCAGGGCTCTAAAGGAGACTGGAGCCATAGCCCAGAGGATCTGAATCCTTCAGCTTCTGAAGCCCAGAGAGACTCAGGGGCTTGGCCACTGACCAGCTCAGGCTTCAGCAGTGTCTTCCACGTAGGTGGCACTTCAAGTATGCTAAGGTGAACCCTGCAGATTGCCACTAGGCCACACTGCCTCCCTGGACAAAGCCACAGGAATAGCTAGCCTTGGCGAGCCCCACATGGCTCTGCAGCTTTCTGGGTGAGGCCGACCTGAGCAGAGTCATGACCGTCACACTGTCAAAGAGGAGGCAGACGACTCGTGGTGGGTAGTCTTCTCCACTCTCTGCCTCCACAGCCTTCCCCAAACTGCCCCTTCCATCCACTTACACTGGCCCCACGCTAGGCCAGGCCCTCATCATTCCCTGGCACCCTTGCCTCAACGATCTCTTCTCCAACCCATCCTCCCCCTGGCTGCCAAGGGCATTTTTAAAACCCAGGTCTGGCCGCAGCACTCCCCTGACTGAGAAGCTTCCGTGGCTCCCCATTTCCTGCAGAATCAAACAAACACAACCCCTGCTGCCTATGCCTCAAAGGCCTGAACGAGCTGGTCTGGGCCAACATTTCCAAACTGAAGTCACCTTCCTCTCTGCCCCTCCCCCTCAGCCTTACTTCCACCTCCCAGAGGCCTCAGCCTCCTTCCCCTTTCAGCTCAGAGGCCACTTCCCCCAGGAGTCCTGGCTTGGCCCTCCTCCTCCCCCAGATGTGTTGACTTAGATGCACCTAACTGTCACAGGGACAATTTCCTTTTCAAATCTGTATGTGTCCCCACCGATTAACACGGTGCCTGGCATAGAGCTGCATTTAATAAATGCTCGTTCATTAACTGAACTATACAAAGCAGCAATGCAGGCAAGTGATGCCCAGCTTTGGACCAGAGCAGGCATATTCACTGGAAAGATGAGGAGACCTTCATTTCCTCTAATGGCTGGGGAAATCCAGCGCAGGAAAAGAAAGGCTCAGATACAGCGTTCTGACTTACTAACTGAAGCAGTCTAGACCTCAGTTTCCTCACTAGTAAAAATCAAAGAACCATAGATTTAGAACTGGAAGGGACGTTGAAGGCCTCAATATATTTCTCCTTCTTCCTAAACAGAGAATCATCCTTTATTACAAAGAGCTTAAAAAAAAAAGATGAAAAATGGTAAAACTAATCAATATCTCCAACAAGTCTGACATTAAAAGCAGCCTTCCACAGCCACAGACTCCAAGTTCTACAAATAAAGGGGAGCTGGGGGTTTGGGGCGGGGGGGATGCATTCTCCTCTCTCTACTTCGGGAAAAGCTTAGCAAGCACACCTGCCAATTCCTTCAATACCTGAGAATAAGGTTTTTCTCTGACGAGACTTGCAAGGTGGCTGGCAAACACTGTCTTACGTGCCTGTGCAGGGTTCCCGTCTCCTACTAGACACCTGGCATCTCTAATATCCCCTCGAAGGTCCGGAGGCCTGGGCCCCATGCTCAGGCACAACCCGGCTTCTTCAGGTTCTCCTCCCTCATTCTCTCGGATCCTCCAGAACCCCCCTCAATTCTTTTATTTGTCTTTTATCACCTTGTTTCAACCCAGCAGTAGAATCGAAGCCATTTTCTAGTTCTGAAGACTTTTCTCCAGCCAACTCCCCTCAAAATTCGCCTCCCTGAGACAGTCTCAGACTGACTTCACCAGGCCAAATCTCTCCTGAATTTCCTTCTTCTTATTCAGCAGAAATCCTTCTCCCTTTCCCTGTTCTTCTTCCCCACAGCTTTTTCCCATGGAAGCCAGAAGCCAAACATCCAAGGCACATAGGTAACTGACACAGATACCTGTGAGTCGTTGGCCAAGCAATAATCAAAGATGAACAGTTTTCAAAAGAAAAAATACCCACCACCCATCACTAACCATAGCTAGCATTTATAAAGAACTTTGAAGTATGCAGAACACTTTACATCAGCCAGCCCATAGTTTAAAAACATTTATTAAATGCCTACTGTGTACTGTACTAAGCACTGGGGATACAAAGAAAGGGGGCACACCACCTAAACCAGCTCTTTTTGCATAGGTACTCTGTTTTTTCCCCACTTCTATAAGTTCTGTATCACTTTAAAGGAATCTAAGACGCCTTGGAACCATGGTGAGCAATAAATACATTAAATACCGGCTATCCCAAAAGTCTCACTGCAGTTTTAAACTGCACTAAGCCTTTTGGGACACTTCCCACTAAGATGATAGTAAGTAAAAACTGGGGGCCTCCCAGGATCAATGGCCACTTAAAGAACTCCAATTCAGAATCAAGAGACCAGGCATTTCATTCCAATCGTCTTCTGAGGGTGCCCATCAATAAAAAAGTTTCTAATGTTACTGACTTTAAAACACAGCTTGAGGAATACCAGCTTTTCACAGTTCTTGAGGCAGGATAATTCACCCGGCACCGTTTCTTATTTTGGGTGGTGCTACTAATACAACTCATCTTTGTTGCAGCTGAAGTTCAAAACAGTGGTGAATGTAAAAACTTAAGAACAGAGAGGGTTTCCTCACCATCTCAGCCTAAAGGAGCGTTGCCCAGTGACTGTTTAATGGCGTGGCAA